GACCGTTAGACACTGGGGAGAAACAAGTGTGCGGCGCGTAAAAGTGTTCTCGACAGGGCCCCGGAATGTGCTGGTGCTTGCAAAGCCTTAGCTTGTTACCGCGACGTTGCGGTAGGACTGGACATCGCGCGCGTGTGCGTAGATGTGAGCAGTCTCAGCAACCTGTTCGGTTGGCAACCTGTTGGGTTGGGGCACTTGTACGGTTTTGCCTCAGATTATTGCAATGACACCACTGGATTGTCTTGTACTAGCAGGTCAAGTTACTTAAAGGATCATGGGAGATAGTAAGTAAGGTTATAAGGTCCCTTAATTGGGGTTATAAGTATAGCTACCCTAATTGTAACCCTACTTACTAAGTCCCATGATCCTTTAAGTACTTGACGGTGCGGCAACGTTGTAACCTGCGGCTTGCCAAAGCGAGCTTCTAAGCCGCCAGGCTGAAGCTGAAGGACGTGATGAAAAGTGGCGGCAAGAGGCAGGTCCTATGGCTGCCAGCCTCGACAGGTCAGGTATTTCACAGTGCCGATTCTGTGGAGGTCCTGCAATGCAGATGCGGCTAGTTTGCCCTGGTTCAATGATGCCGCTGCAGCATTCCAGCCGATTTCAACCCTTCTCGGTTGATGGGGGAAACCTTCATGCGTACGGAAAACGTTGGGTGCTTGGATGGCATTCGTCTGACCCGGTTCAAGCCAAGTGCACTGCTTTCGACTCATCAGCGTTGACTGAGCAGCTGGGTCATCAGTCAGGTCGTGTCACCCATCGACGTAGCTCGCAGGATTGCAGTCTCAGCGTTAGACAGCGCCCGAAAACTCTGCGACTTCAGAGCAAGACGTGTTAGGTAAGGGTCTTGTTTATCCCTGTGGCTTGCGCCTTGTGCCTTGCTGACATTCGATTTTGGATCCGGTGTGCAGATTAGGACCGTCTTTCGCTTCGTGAACTTGGATTTCTCGGCGCGGTTGGTCCTAGGCCAGGCCAACATGTGTATGTGTATATATATATATATGCACACATATGTATATATGACTTATATATATATATATGCATATATATATATATATCTCTCTCTCTCTCTCTCTCTCTTTATTGTTTACACACACCTATATACCTATATACCTATATATATATATATATATGGTCGCCCCCCCCCCCGTTGACAGACCATGCCCTCTCAACTGAGTAGATGTGCATGGTGTGTCATCGGATGGGTGGCGATCAGCCCTCACAAACTCAATTCCAAAATTTCCAATATTCTCGCCCCTAACTTTCCGGATTTCCAAAAT